GTGCTTCCTTCATTATTTCCAAGTGGGAAATAAGCTCAGGGCTCACTGGCAGTAGACCTCGGCTGTTCCTGAATTCTACTCTTTGAATATATCTGTGTTATGCAGTTTTGTTATTTCTGGATTTTTAATATGTAAAGGTCAGGACTTGTTCAGTTTCAAATGCCAGAAAGTAACTCCAAGTAGTTTAAGTAATAAAACATTGGGGATATGAGCTCGTGTAACCGGGTATCGTTCAGGCCCAGCTGGATCTAAGCACTCAAATCGTACTGTCAAGGTGCTGCACCCATGTAGGTGCCCGTCTCACTGCATCTTAGTTCTGCTGCCTTCTGCAGCTTCATTCAGAAGGTGTGTCTGTGGCCTGGGAACTATCACTGCTGGGAGTCCGGGGCTTAACTCCTGAAAGCGCATTCCAGGGAGGCATCGATCTAACAACCTCAGAGAGGATTCTCGTTGGCCCCGTTTGGGACAGATGACTGCCCTGTGCCAAGCACTGTGTCAGGGGGCTTCAGGTGCTCTGGCCCAGCAGGGCACATGCCCCTGTGTGTGTGTGTGGTACGACCGGAGTGAATGACATGCCCATCAGCAGATGGAGAGCAAACAGGGGGCTCCTCAGAGAAGGGAAGCTTGCCACGATTTCACAACTAACATACAAAATTACTCTGACATAATTTTACTACTAATGTCTCCACATGTTCTTGTTTCCTTGTTTCTGGGTTCTACACATTATCCCTCCATCAAAAGCATGGTCCTCGTGGCTCTGTGACCCCAGGGAGGTGACAAGTGAACAGACAAAGCACAGATGTCTTGGGCCTTTTGAACCTCAGAAAAGGAAAGCTTCACAGGAACACACAAGCTTCCATCAGATCATCTGGCTTTCTGAAAAACACCAGGAAAACAAGCGTGGTAATAACCCGGCTGTGAGACCTCCACACCCACTTTCTCCGCACTCTCCCACTGCCTGGTGCCTGTGGAGGGTGCATGATAAAAGCTGTTCCTAACAACGTAAAAAGCGATCGCTGATACAGAACGTGGACTCATTTTCCCTTGAGAGAACAGTTGAGGCCTGGATAGAATCAACCAGCCGAGTCCCTTCAGGTGCTTAACTTTTCAGTGAGGGTCCTGGAGTTGAATAACTCATGCTAATGCAGCCAGCAGCAGGCAAACTGCACTCACACTCTATTCAGATTTTGATTATAAAACAGCCCCAGATGAGTTTCATGAATGCAACACTTACTCCATGGCCTCCGCTGGATGAAAGAGAATGCGGGTGGTCGGGGCCCCGGGGCTCTGAGGTCCGCCGAGCCTCACTCAGTCTCGGGGCTGCCCTACACTGGCTGTGCGACCTTGCACGGTGACATTGAACATCTCAGAACTTTCTGTTTCTTCATCAATAAAATGGGGGTGATACCACCTAATTCATCAGCCTTTGAGATCATATGGATGAAATAACACATGGAAAGTGCAATAATATTTATAGAACAGAATAATGTACAAAAACTTTCTGTAGCTTGCCAGAACCACAACAAATCTTAATTTCCTTCTCTTCAGATTCTCTCTCCCTCCCTCCCCACCGCCCTTCTTTATAGCATGGAAGCTAGTGTTTCCTGTAAGTACTGTCTTGCCAATGGGTTTCAGCCCTGGACAAGTTCACTATGGATCCAGTGAGAATGAAAAAATGACCCCGGAATATTCTTGGGGTAAAAGAGTTTATATCCCACCACGGCAGGTCAATCACTAGAATCCCATCCACTCACAGCAAGTCTGCCTGCAGCAAGCCGGCCTCTGCCTCCGGGCCTCTCCGCCTCCGCAGCCGTCTCAGTCTCTGTCCTCTGTGCTGCCGCCACTCCAGCCTCTGTTCCCCTGCAGCCGTGCAGCCCAGAGCCCTGGGAGGAGCTCTTTATATAACGTCAATGACAATGTAGTGCCCACACATGTGTAATGAGCTAGCCGACCACAGCCAGGTGAGAATCCTGGCCACAGGAACCTTCACCTTCTCCACAGTCTGACTGTAGAACTGAGAATTCCAGGGGAAATGAAAAGAAGATGAAAAGAGCCTTCATTTTAAAAATAGAAGTCGCTTCCACAGTGCACACCTCTACTGAGGGGAGGTGGAGAAGAGATGAACGTGGTCGAGCAATAAGTGCTACGTCAGTGTTTCAAAGTTTATGCATCTTCAAAGAGATTTCAGCATTTTGTGCAACTTCATTTTAATATACTTGCAAAGTAGTCATTAAAATATATAAGCCACTTGCACTGGAATTTCTTCACAGAAAGAGGAATAAAAGCAGCTTAGCCATTTATAAAACCTACATCAAAACTCCATGTCCCCTATTTTAGATAAAATAAGATATATTACAGACCAGGGGCTTCAAACTTCAATGCAGGGGAGTTTGATAAACATGCAGCTACTTGAACCACACGCCAAGAGATTCCATTCAAATAGGTCATGGATGGGAAATCTGCATTTTTAACATCTCCCAAGATTCTGATACAGATGAACTGTAGAATTTGAGAAACACTGGCTGAATGGTTAAGAGCTTGCTTGGGCTTGAGGATGGACAGCCTGAGCTCAAATCTTAAATCCACCACTTTCTAGCTTTGCAGACTGGGGCAACCTCTTCACCTCTCTGATCCCCGACACGTAGGCAGAAGCACTGAATAAATACTAGCGACTGACAGTAACATTATTACGCAGACTCAAAGGGGCTTCAATTCTTTTTTTCTTAATTTTTTCATTCTTGCTGCCTTTTCTTTTCCTTTTACAAATCCAAAGTAACGGTGTCTTATGCAAGCTGTAAGTTTATTTAGCTTTCAGATGACAGTCTGGAATTAAAATAGTCCAGAACTTGTCTGACAGCTCTACAACCCAGACTGCATGCTTCCCTCTTTAGGTGTAACCCTCATCCTCACTGTTCAAAATGGCAGCTAGAGCTCCAGCAGTCACGTCTGCATTCCACATAGCAAAATGGAAGAAAGGAAAAAGACAACCAACCTCTCCCAGTAATCCTAGAACTTGCTTATACCCACTGGCCAGAGCTTAACTGTCAGGGAGGCAGGAAAATGTGGCAGTGTTCCAGGAATGTACCCAGAAAAACATGATGTCTATTACAATGGAAAATGGGGAGAAGAAATATGGAGGGACGACTATTGTCCCTTGATATATCCAACCCTAGTTGTCTAAGAGATTCAGACCACTTCCCAGAAATCCTCCGTCCCATCCTGCTTCTATCTGCTTATTCCTCAGGTCGGGAAGACCTTCTCCCAAAAGACAGTTGCATTTTGTTGATCGTACTCAGCTTGGCTTACTTTATTCCTGAATTCCTCCCAAACCTTCCATTTCTCATCCCCCAACTTCATTCATTTTATCTCTTACCCACTTTCAATAGGCTATCGATACTTTTTTTTAATACTCAAAATTCTCACCAGTTAGAAATAACCACTCTTAAATTGTTGGTATATAGCCATCTAGCATTTTCCCCACGTAAAAACATATGCATATATTTATAATCAAAGCCTAGTCTTCTTAATTGTTTTTAACCTCTTCTGTCATACTTAACAGTATATCATGAGTCTCGAATGTTAAGTCTCGAATGTTACTAAGTATAGATCAACATCATCAATTTTAATGACTGCAGGGTTTTCCATTGTCTGGATATATCATAATTTATTTAGCCAAATCCATTTATGCCCACAGCGCCGTGCTGCCCTCTGGGTACACACACCCTTGATCACTCGCGCACTAGCCTCCTGAGGATGAGCTGCGTGCCTCTGGTCCCCTGACTCCCCGGCTCTCCTTACTGGATTCAGGGGCCAGCAGCAAAGCATGGCTCTACCATCCCACCCGCACGGCGCTGTCCCGTTCTTGTCTCTACCCTTAAGCTGCTTGAAATCCCTTCTGAAATGAACATTGCAGACTTGGAAGGTGCCTGAAGAACTCAAGTAATGCCTCCTATGCCCCCTTCGGAAGAGCGAGACCGCGCCCTCCACCCCAGTGCGGAGGAAAGCACAAAGGGAAATACAGTCCCAGGTGACACCAAAGGGCTTTCATTAAACCTAAGTTATTAGAACTTTCAGTTTGCCAAAACGACTTCAAGCAAGACCGGCATGGGGCCACTTTTGTGTGGAGAAACCAGTTTCAATTACAAAAAAAAATGCATTTGACTGATATAAGCATTTAGACAGACAACTGATGTGACAACTGACAGTTCTTCAGCTGATTTTTTTAAGACCGATGATTGATTTCTGACTGTTGCTTTGTCTCTGTTGTGCTTCCTAATGATCCAAACGCTCTTGAGCTTTACGTTTCCTAGAAGAGGCGGAAGACAAATGATGTTGTATCACTGTCGATAACACTTTCTATTCTCAGGGGGTTCCGCCTCTGTTTCCCTCCCATCAGCACCGCGGAGTAGGCAGAACTGGCACCGTCAGCCCTCCACGATAGACGGTGATCATACGAGATGTCAGCTTTTGAGCACACACTATGCTAAATGCATGATGAATATTATTTCATCCTCACAACTACCCCTGTGCGGTAGGCATGCCAGGATTGCCCCATGTTATAAATAAATACAGTTTAGAAAGATTAAATCACTTGATCACAGTCACACATGAAGAAAGAGGTGAAACCAGAATTTAAAATCAGTATTCACGCCCCAGAAAGAGTCTTACTCCAGTTCACATCGTTGTGGAATCAAGTCAAAACCCCTGTTCCCTGCACAGTGATTAAGAACAGGAACTCTAAATCAGGAAGCCTGCGTCCAGGCCCCGTATCTGACATCGCCCCATTGGGTCACCTTGGGCAAGTTACCGAACCACTCTATACCTCAGTCACCCTACTTAGAAATGGGGATAATAAAAGCATCAACTCAACAGATAAGTGAGATGACCCACCAACAGCTCTTAGCACATAGGAAGGGCTCAGTAATTAGAATTAATATGATCCTTTCTGTTCCTTCAGCCTCTAAGCTAAGTACATATTTGATTGGTCTGTACCCCTGCAGGTGCCTCGAGCGAAGGCCTTATGCAACTACCGAGGGCAGAATCCTGGTGACCTGAGATTTAATAAGGGAGACGTCATCCTCCTCCGGAGACAGCTGGACGGGAGCTGGTACCAGGGGGAGATCAATGGAGTCAGCGGGACCTTCCCAGCCAGCTCCGTTCAAGTCATCAAGCAGCTGCCCCAGCCGCCCCCACTCTGCCGGGCCCTCTACAACTTTGACCTACGAGACAAAGACAAGAGTGAGAACAAGGACTGCCTGACCTTCCTCAAGGTAAGATTCAGGTGGTCACCGAGGTCACCAGCAACCACAGGAGACTTGTGGCGGAACCTGGAGTTGTTTGTTTAATATTTGCTGATTTTTTTAATTATGTATATTTTATATGTAATGTAGACATGTATATATGTGCACATATATATGTCATGTGCATGTATAATTCAAACTATATGGAAGTGAAGTTGCCAGAGAAATCTACTAGTAAGAGTTTGATGAAACTTTTCTATTGTGATTACAAAAAGCATTCACATATTCATTTTACAAACCCAGTTTGATGGTGTGCTATGCAAAACTGCAGCTCTTACCTCTTTATTATATATCTTACCCTACTGCTAATAATCTATAAGGATTTTCTTGCTGACCACATTCTGGTCACCTAATTCTTCTCACTTACAACATTCTATTTTGTTGAAAAAACTGCATTCAAAACACTCCAAACACACTCAATAACATAATTTCACCTTTATACATAAATAACTTATTATAAGATACATTTTCCAAGCATATTAAGTACCCTAAGATATTTTTTCCTCCTTTCTATTGGATGATTCTTCACTGCATGCAAGTAACATTTCTATGGAAATCAAGACCACTCTAATCTGTGTATTCAGAATTACTTCTTAAACAATCAAATCCTCTCATAAAAACCAAAATTGGGGTGATTTTCATTCTTTGCTTCTTGTGATAAGTAGATCAAATATAAGCACAAGAAGTGGCTTTAGTAACCCAGGGAAGATCTTTTGTTTTGTAAAACGTTTTTATTCACTCCTGCCAGAAATGAGGTTGACGTCCACTTCCCTCAAGCTAGGCAACCTCTCTGTCCTCCATATTGTGAAATACTGGTCTTCATTATTGTCTTGTCACCTCAGTGAGTTCCCTAGGTAAGGTCCTCCTGTAGCTTAAGCTGCTACAGCTGCAGGAAAAGCAGTTCATTCCACAGGCATTTATTTAGTTAGCCACTTTGTGGCAGGCATTAGACACCGAGTTCTGGCGACACAGCTGGAGAAAGACCTAAGCAGGAAGCGCTATCTGCTCTTTTTACCCCTCTCTTTGAATTGCAAACTGAGACACTTACTCCACCTGCTTGTTCATTCACTGAGCCCATCCATGTGCCAAGCTGTCCGCTGGGGATAATGTGATGGATCACTGTCCCCCTGTAACGGAGCCACAGTCTAGTGCAAGGATCAGACATGCAAATGGGAAATCATGGCAAAGGACCCAGATGAGAGGGCTCGATCCCTTCTGGAATGCTGTGGAAGGCTGAGACTACACCAGGAACTCTCGTGGTCTTCCTGAAGTCAGCACGCCCAGATTAAAGTCAGAATCTCCCCTCTCAAAGCTGCTCTTCTCCTGGTGTTTTCTATCCCAGTAAACTATGCAATTAATTCATGCACGCGTGCATGCATTCAAGTAATATTTACTAGATGACCACTAAAGGGAGGCACTGTATTAGGGTCAGGGGACACAGAAGTGAGCAACACAGACACAGGCCCTGCACACACAGAGTTCATGGTCTGATGGGGTGGACAGGTATTAGAGAGGTCATGACCTGAAAATATAGGACTGCCAGTTATAAAAAGGACAGATAAATCTAAGAAAAGGTATCATGCACTAATGAGTTTAGATTTGGATTCTAATTACTGAGGGGAAGGGACCAGAAGGTCAGAGAGATCAGTGGATGAATAGGCAGGTTTACATCCATAAACAGATATGGATGTAGGAAGATATTCCTGATGTGTTATGAGATGAAAAAACAAAAACAAATTGTCCTGTATCATAACTCCATTAGTATGAAACACAAGAACAGGCAAAACGAATGCATATGCTAGAGGTCAGAGTACTGGTCACCTCTTGGTGGATGATGGGAAAGGACATAAAGCAACCTCTGGATGCTGGAAAGGTTCTATATCTCTTGGCGGATGGGGTTTCATGGATATAGTCAGTGTTACAATTCATCAGGCTTTACATCGAAAACGTATGTACTTACTGTATGCATGCGCATATGTTTTCGCAAAAGTCTCTAAAAATCAGTATGTTTATTCTTACTACACTGATGGACAGTGACTGTAATAGGGTATGTGGGGGGAACTTGAGAATATGGGTGAATGTAGTAACCACAACATTACTCATGTGAAACCTTCATAAGATTGCACATCAATGATACCTTAATAAAAAAATCAGTATGTTTATATATATATATATATATATATGTATGTTTTATCTTCATGAAAAAGAATCTGGGGGAAAAATGTGTTAACCAAGGTGTTAACAGTGGCTGTATCTATATTGTGGTAGAATTCTTTATGTGTTTTGTTGATCTGTGTTTTCAAATGTTTCTACAAATCTACATATAACCTTTTTAAGAAGAAAAATTTGAATAAAAAGCCCTTTCACGTTTGATGTATTACAAATTAAATAGGTTCTGAAAAGTCTTCAAAATTAGAATGAAATCTATTCTTCCTTTGGTAAGCTAAAAATACCTCTCCCTATGGCTTCCATCTTAATTTGCCCCATCAGATTAATTCAAATGAAAAGCCCAGATTCTGCTGGTGATTGACAATTAGAAACATTTCCAAGTTTTCCTATTGGATCCCATTGATCCTCCAAATTATTTCTATTCCTTCTGTGGCCTTGGTGACCCAAATAACTGCCCTTATGGAGAAAGATCATTTTGACAGGAAGATTTTGTAAATAAATGATGAAAGAGTTACACTCCTTGCACCTTACACTCCAAGCTGATCTCCACAGAAAGCTTTCACAACCTGAAAACTGAGAGCGAATGCTGACCCAAGACTCTCTCTCTCTTTCAGGATGACATCATCACTGTGATCCGCCGAGTGGATGAGAACTGGGCAGAAGGCAAGCTGGGAGATCAAGTAGGCATCTTTCCTATCTTGTTTGTACAGGTACGTGAGTATCATGCCTGCATCTGACTCAAGCTTTCGCAGAAATACACACATGCCACAGTGATGCCGGGAGCAACTCCTTTTTGATATGAGGCTTATTTCAGAACGAATTAAAGTCTGTAAAGAAAAGATGAGAGATGATAACACCCAGTTCTGGCAAAGAGTGGAGAAATGGGCCGTTTCATTCTGCTTATGCAAGTGTAAATTGGTACAATCTCTCATAGCCAGACTCAAATAAAGTCATATCAAGAACATTAAAAATGTACATCTCCTTTGAGTCAGCAATTCCACTTCTGAGAGTTTATTGCAAGGAAATATTTAAATAAGTAGGCAAAAATATATGTACAAAGTAAATAAAAATGTTCATCGTAAAATTGTGTGTAAAGGCAGAAACAACAAATAATCTAAATATCCAGTGATAAGTTTTACTTTTTAAAATTACGGTGATGGAAAAATATGTACTCATTAAAAATAATGTTAAAGAAGAATATTCAATATCATGGTATTATGGAAAGATGTTTATGATTTGCTGTTAAGTAAAATAAAGTTGCATAGCTATAGAGTTTCAGATTTAGAAAATGAAAAAGTTCTCAAGACCTGTTTCACTACAATATGAATATACTTAACATTACTGAGCTGTATACTTTAAAATGTTATTATGGTAAATTTTATGTTATGTGTTTTTTACAATAAAAAAGCAAATGGAACTATATGAAATTAGCTTTATAATTACATGTGTATAGATATAAATCGATAAAGGACTGGAAGTAGATGTACCAAAATATTAGCTGTGGTGATCTGCCACCAGATGCTGAGCTTCTGAACACTTTCCATTTTCTTCTGCCGGCTTATATTTTCTAAGTCTTCTGAAATGGGCATATATTACTTCTGGTTTTTTTTTAAGCTGCCTTAAAAAAAAAGAACAAATTGTTGTTAACAACCATTTGATCAATAAATAAGAGAGATGCCCTCTCAAAAAAAAAAAACATCAATAATAGAAATCATTTAAAAAATTAATTAATTAAAAAAATAAAAGAACAAAAGAACACATATTAAGTTATCTACCTATTTCTCGAATATAATAATATAACATGGACTCTGTACCCCCTCTGTCCTTGAGTCTCACCCTAGCTTGAGGCAGGTCATTACAAATTTCAAAGAGAGGTTTCATTGTTTAACTTCATTTACTGGGTACTTGACAGGCGAAAGGCATTAAAAGGGAACAGTGGGGAGCCATGAAAGAAGGCGCTCTCCACCTTCTAGGAGGGTGCAAACAAAACAGGTGTAGTTGGAGAGAAAGGACCGATTTGTCCATTCCTAAGAGCCAAAGCAGGTTCTGAAGTAAACAGTGTGGCCAGGACACTGTCTGGCTTTCAACCTTTGAAGCCATACTTCTTCTATTCAATCAGTGGTGAAGGGATGAAAATGGAGAAGGAGACAGAGGAAGGGTCCAGAGAGGCTAGTCTGCTTGCTGTCTTTAATAAACAATGTTCTCATTCCCACTGCTTTTTCTCTTCCTGAGGCCCTTTCAGGTTCACCCACCCAATTCTCTCTACCTGCTCAAACTGCACTAATTTTACAAGGCTCGGCTAGAAACCCATTTTCTCCCTAAAATTTCAGCAACCAGTTGAACACTCAGTTGTCTTTTTCTTCTCTGAACATCTGATGGGCATGTTGCTTGGACTCCACAGGCTAGCCTAACACAGAACAGTACACTAAACAAAAAACCTAGCTGAACAAGTGAGTGAATTAAAAAAATATTTGCGAGGTGTTCAGACTAACTAGGAAAAAGTTTAAAAAACAAACCACCCACTGTGACCCTGTCCTAAACATACACTCAGTCATTCAACCTATTTTTCATTGCATGCCTGCTAAATCAAGTTCCGTGCTGGGTTCTTAAGATACAAGACAGATATAGGTCCCTTCTTTCAGAGACTGTGAAGTCAGACATTAATCAAGTAATTGCAAGGGTAATGAATGAATGAGGCAGAGTAAAGCAGAGGGAACAGTTGCGGGGAGGGGGTTTGATGTGCCATTTACCTGGGTAGGGGGTCAGCAAAGGCCTTCCGAGCCAAGATCTGACAGATGGTTAGGAGTTAGGAGTGTTTCAGGGAATAGACGTACATGCATAAAAGTCATGCAGGATGAGGAAGTGTGGTGCATCCAAGGGACCCGAAGAAACTAGAGCTGGAGCCCAGGGGTTGCGAGGGACAAAAATGAAGCCAGGGACGTAAGTGGGAGACAGATCACAGCAGGCTGGGGAAACCTTCCTGTGTCAGACTGGATGAGCTAGGTTATGCTGTAATAACCCCTAAATCTCAGTGGCTTAATAAGGAAAAAATTATTTCTCACCCGTATCACACATTCCGCACAGATGGTAAGAGGCTCCGCTCACACGGCTGCTCTGGAATCTAGAGTCGTGAGCTGGGCCACCTCATCCCTGCACCACGTGGAGCACATGGGCTTTCTAGTTTTCCTGGCGGGGGGGGGCGTGAGGAGGGACACTTGTTGCTCCCACTCAGCGCACTGGCCTGAGACAGTCCCTTAGCCCCCACCTGCCTTCCAGTCAGAGGACATGCAACATTTGGTATCATTCTCTCCTCCATAGACTCAGAAGTCAGCGAAAGCCCCTGAAAGCTTTTAAGTGAGGCGGTGACTCCATGAGGTCTGGGTTTCCTCGACTGCTCTGGCTGCAGGGGGGAGAGTAAGTCGAAGGCAAGGGTGGGGATGGCAGAACGACCAGTTAGGAGGCCACTGCGTGGCTCAGTTAGACGACTGTGGCCGGAACTAGTAGAGTGGAAACAGGTACACAGATTCAGACAAGTTTTTGGAGGTAGGTCCACAAGTCTCAAGGCTGACAGCAGTGGGGGGTAGGGGGAGGCGGTAGCCAAGCATCAGGCCCCACTTTCTGATTTGGTGTGCCTATGGCAATGGCAGAGCTATTCAACATTTGCTGAAAAGGAACAATTTTCATAATTGGGAGATACAGTTAAATCTCCAAGGACAGGACAGAAATCATCTACAACTAATACCTAGTTGAACACATAGGAGGTGCTTAAATGTTTGCAGATTTAGAGCTTGCATGGCCCCCTGAATTATTTCCAGATGCTTCTTCATAGCTCTGGGGGGGAAAGTCACTGATGATTTATTGCTCATTTCTGATACCTTTTTCTCCAAAACTTCTACACTTCATCATTATTCATTTGGGTACTCTCCCCACCACTTCACCTCTGAAATTAGTGATTACAAGACTGCTTGCAACTATCATCCAACTAACCATTGCTTCAATTGTTCTCCTAATTGCTAGGAAGTGAAAAGAATAATCAAGTGGTTGCTCTAATCTGGAAACCTGGTTTTCAAAAATTACTTGAAATCTTAATTGAGTTTTTTAAAGCAGTGCGTAAATTTTGACCCCAGTCCTTTCATTAAGACCAGCCCTTGCTGGCAAACTCTAAATACTGAATCACCAGTGCCATGAGAAGCAATTGGAAGAAAAGCTTCCTTAAGAGTGACCAGGTTTGGGGCATAGACAAGATTTTTCTTGTTAATGCATCATTTGTTTTATTGAATTGCACCTGGCTACAAAGGTGGTAAAACCAACACTGATCTTACACCCGTTCTTGTCAGGGCTTCAGCGGGACCTGCCTCAGTTACATGAGCCTTGCCCGGCCCAATGAACCTCAAGGATATTGTTTCTAATGAGTGGGTGCAAATTTAAGAAATGTGCGGTCCTTCCCCAATGAGCTATTCGTCGTGCTGGCAGAGGACTAACAGTCACACGGGACCCACTGTGAATGCTGCCCGACCGAAATGCTGGTGGTATGGCCACCCAGGGGGCGGAGCAATTAGGTGAAGGCAGAAAAAATCAACTAATTTCCTTGTAGCTGTGAATGTTGATACAAAGTTTACTCATTCATCCCAAAGAGTGTAAATCATCCTCTTACTGGGTGAACAATAGAGGGCTGGCTCTGGGGATCGTAAGACGTTGTCCCTAGTCCAGGCTTCTGTCAGAGGTTGCCTGTCACAGTTTCAATAACTTCCTAATTGGTCTCTATTTCTACTCTGGCACTTCCAATTAACAGCCAGAAGAACTTTTTATATATTTATTTTAATTTACATGGAGTAAAATTTATTCTTTTTGATGTACAATGCTATCCATTTTGATTAACACACACATTATAACCACACCAACTCAAGGTATAGAAATAGTTCCAACAGCCCCCCAAAAAGTACAAGGACATGCTGCCACTTTGAGGTCAGCTCCTTCCCCGGCTCCCAACCCCTGGCAACCACCAATCTGCTTTCAGCTCCTGCAGTCCTTCTCCTGTCCCAGAATGTCCTAGCAGAGGGGTCAGGCAGACTGTGGCCTGCCGGGTCTGGCTCCCTTCACTTAGCACAATGCACTTGAGAGTTGGCCTGTGCGCGCGGGTCAGCCGCACACCCCTTTTCATTGTTCAGCTGTGTCCGTGGTACAGATGTGTCAGTGTGTGTGTCCACCCGCCAGCTGAAAGCCATTGCGGTTCCTCCTTTTTGTAACTGAAGTGTAGTGGACATGATACTGTAACAGTTTCAGATGTACACCATCGTGATTGAGCATTTATCTACATTACCAAATGCTCACCAGGATAAGTCTAGTTACCATCTGTCACCATACGAAATTATTGTAGTAGTACTAACTATATTCCCCATGTTGGACCTTTCATCCCTATGACTTATTTATTTTATAACTGGAAGTTTGTTCCTCTTGATGCCCTTCACCTACTTCTCTACTTCCACACCCCTCCCGCTCTGGCAACCACCAATTTGTTTTCTGTGTTAATGAGTCTATTTCTGGGTGTTTGTTCATCTGCTGTGTTTTTTAGATTCCATATATAAATGAAATCATGTGGTATTTGTCTTTCTCTGTCTGACTTATTTCACTTAGCATAATACCTTCTAGGTCTATCCATGTGGTTGCAAATGGCAGGATTTCTTTCTTTTTTGTGGCTGAATAATATTCCATTGTGTGTGTGTGTGTGTGTGTGTGTGTGTATTCACCTATTGATGGACATTTAAGGTGCTTCCATATCTCAGCTATTGTAAATAATGTTGCAATAAACATAGGGGTATATATTATCTTTTCAAATTCATGTGTTTGTTTTCTTTGGATAAATACTAGGATATGTTGAACTGGAATTAGAATTGGAATTACTGGATCATGTAGTAGTTCTATTTTTAAACTTTTTGAGGAACCGCCATTCTGTTTTCCATAGTGGCTGCACCGCTTTACATTCCCACTAATAGTGCACAAGGGTTCCCTTCTCTCCACATCCTCACCAATACTTGTTATTTCTTGTCTTTTGGATAGTGGCCGTTCTGAATAGTGTGAGGTGATACCTTGTGGATTTGATTTGCATTTCCCTCATGATTCGTGATATTGAGCATCTTTTCATGAGTCTCTTAGCCATCTATGTCTTCTTGAAAAAATGTCTATTTAGTCCCTCTGCCCATTTTCTAATTGGATTATTTGTTCCTTTGGTGTTGAGCTGTCTAAGTTCTTTGTATATTTTGGATAGTAACCCCTTATTGGGTTTATCATTTGTGGATATATTCTCCCATTCAGTGAGTTGCCTTTTTGTTTTGTTTATGATTTCCTTCACTGTGCAGAAGCTTTAAATTTGATGTAGTCTCACTTATTTATGTTTGCTTTTGGTGCCCTTGCCTGGAGAGACATATCCAGAAAAAAATTGTGAAGGCTGGTATCCAAGGGTTTACTGCTTTCTTTCTTTAAGTTTTATGGTCCAGGGTCTTACATTTAGGTCTTTAATCCATTTTAAATGTATTCTTGTGTGTAGTATAGGAGAGGGGCCCAGTTTCATTCTTTTGTATACAGCTGTGCAGTTCTCCCAACAGCATTTATTGAAGAGACTATCTTTCCCCCTTGTATATCCTTTCCTTTGTGATAGATTAATTGTCCATATGAACATGGGTTTATTTCTGAGCTCTCTATTCTGTTCCCTTGGTCTATGTGTCTGTTTTCTGTGCCAGTACCATATAGTTTGATTATTATAGTTTTATAGTATAAAATCAGGAAATGTGATTTGTTCTTCTTTCTCAAGATTGCTTTGACTAGAGTCTTCCGTGGTTCCACACAAATTTTAGGATTATTTGTTCTAGTTCAGTAAAAAGTGCTATTGGTATTTTAATAGGGATTGCTTTGAATCTGTAGATTGCTTTGGGTAGTATGGATCTTTTAACAATGCTAATTTTTCCTATCTATGAGCATGGTTTATCTTTCCATTTATTTATGTCATCTTCAATATCTTTCATCATTACCTTAAAGTTTTCAGAGTACAGGTCTTTCACCTCCTTGGTTAAATTTATTCCTAGGTATCTTATTCTTTTTTGGTGCAATTGTAAATGAGATTGTTTTCTTAATTTCTCTTTCTGCTAGTTCATTTTTAGTATATAGAAATGCAACAGATTTTTGTATATTGATTTTGTATTCTGCAGCTTTCTGAATCCACTTACAAGCTCAATAGCTTTTTGGTGGAGTCTTTAGAGTTTCCTATATCAAATATCATGTCATCTAAGACACTGTAATTCTTTGCAGTTGTTGGCAACTATGATAAAGCTGCTATAAACATTTGCATACTTGATTCTGAGTACGCTTAAGTTCTCATTTCTTTTAGGTAATTACCTAGGAGTGGAATTTCTGGGTCAGATGCTAAATATGATTTTAACTTTGTAAGACGCTGCCAAATCATAGCATGAGTTTTTAAAAAGTATAAATCAGATCATATCACTCCTCTGTCTAAATCCTGCCAAAGGCTTCCTATCACACTTAGAATAAACTTGAAGCCTCCTGGACACTTTGTGACCCAGCCCCCGTCTGTCTGTCTATCTCTATGGTCTCCTCTTTACCACCTGCTCCTCATCAATGTGTTCTAGCCTTCTCTTTGTTTCTTTCTTGTCTTTTTATCAAGCAGGCTGAGTTTTTACCCCCTTAGGACCTTTTCACTAGTTCATACTCCCTGTTCTTGGAAGAGTCCCCCCATCTTCCTCCCATCATCTTCCTCCCATCATCTCCCTCCCACCTCCACATGGCTGGCTCCTTGTTGGCATCCATATCTCAGCTTTAGCGTCACCTTCTCAGCAGGGCTTCCTTCACCCTGGCCACCTCCCTCCGGACTAAAGGAGCCACCTCCCCGGCCGCACTCTAGCACCTCTGATTACTATCTGGCATTTTCCTCTTTGGTTGTTTGCATGCTGGCTCTGCCATTTATAAGACACCGTTCTGGACCTCAACTCTCTTATCTTTCAAGTGGACATAATAATGCCCTTTCCCAAAAATGATGATTTTTTTTCACACTATTACAAGTGTATTCCTTCTTAAGTCAGGAATTACATCTTCTTTAAAAGTTTCTTTCTCCACTATTTTAATCATCTGCATATTGTCATTAAAAAGCTCTTAAGTAGGCAAATTCCCTTTTATCTCTATAGTTGAAACTCTAAATTAGAATGAGACATGTGGTTTTCCAGGGCAATTGGTGACAATTATACTGATGGAAATTTAAGTAATTGCCCTGGAAAGTTTTCTTCACACGAACCCCTGCTTTGACAAATACTTCAGATTTTTCAAAGGAAACGAACTCACAGGGGCCTTTGGGGGGCAAGGCACTCAGACTACCAGTGTGGCCAGAGCTTGTGCTCGAGCTCGCGGCCACCAGACTGCAGGGCCACTATTACAGTGTCAGGAATTTGTCCGGACAGTCGTTAAACCATTGGTAGGTATTTATTCCACAGAAATCAGTAAACTACAAATCCAGGCACTTTTGTTTCCTGATTTACCAGCATGCCACTGACTAAAAGAGAATGAAATGACGATGAATGGAAGCATTTAAAGGAAGTCATAAAGGACAGTCTGAGCATAACGGTTTGGGGTCCTGAAGGGATTACATTCTGGCTGAAACACTTACCGAATGTAGGAACTTGAGCGACATCCCCACATCCTTCCACAAATGCTCAAGGAGCACCCACTCTGGGATGCAGCAGAGATGACCATGCATGAGGTTCCTGCCCCCAGGCCCTCAGGAAGCCAGCAGTGCGGTGGGGGACAGGGAAGTAAATGACTATGGAGTGAAAAATGCCACGACAGGAAAGCCCAGGGGCTACAGAAGCACAGACAGGGCAAGCAGCCAGCCCAGAGGGGGCTCAGGAGCGAACAGAGGAGGACGGGGAGGGTCCACTCGGTGTGAAGGCCTGAGACAGGGCTGGGAGAATGGGCAGAGGGAGAGGCCCCTGATCAGGGAAGGGTGTCGTGGCTTATTTTTAACCCCTTTGGACCTCAGTAAAAGAGTAATACCTACTTCGCAAGAGAGTTGTGAGAATGTATCAATATAGCAAAATACTGAGACCTATTGACAAAAGGCAGAAGCTGAGCACGTAGTGACAGCAACCGAGGTGGTGGCATCTGACCTGCTTTCAGACTGGCCTGGGCAGGACCCAGCTGCTCGCGTTAGATCCGGAAGACTAACTTCTCATCTGACCTTTTGTCTCTTCAGCCAAATCTCACCGCAAGACACCTCCTAGAGAAGAATAAAAGCCACCAGTCATCCTGCACAAAAAGCCTGTCTCTGGCGTCCTCATTTTCCAGAAGCAAGGCGGCCAACACCCCTACCCTCCGAAGGGGCCCCGGGGGTAAGAGGAAGGGGCCCGGGCAATTCTCCATCATGACAGCATTGAACACCCTCAACCGGATAGTGCATTCTCCTCCGGGGAGCCGTCTGGTAGAGACCAGCACCCCGGTGCTTATCAGCTCCAGCAACCCCTCTGTGATCACCCACCACTCGGAGAAAGCAGATGTTCCTCCCAGATCTGCGGGGCAGGTAGGACACAACTTACCTCTGGGCTAAGGGCATCTTGGAGACGGACAGATGATCCATACCATGGCCCAAGCAATAGTGGGCGTTTAGTACTTGCAAGTCACCCGTAGTGTGTGAATAATAACTAGCGCCGTGTGTATTATGTGTCAGAGCTGTGTGTACATGATCTCATTTCATCCTTGAAATAGCCTCTGAGTTTAGCATTATTATTCCCATGGTACAGATGAGAAACTGAGGCTCAGAGAAGTTGAACAACTTGCTGAATTTGCACAGATACTTTGTTTTCTCGTGCTCAGAGCCGTGACATGTTCCTGTCCCTTGGAGAACTTCCCTCCAAGGAAATAACGGCACCCATTTCATTGACAGGGTCTTGGCATCACGCTTTCAGATTCACTGTTCCATTGCCTTGCAGTGGATTAGGCATCCAATGCAAAGGAAGGAAAAGAAAGAGAAAGAAACTGTGTTATTAGGTCTTTTCAGGACAGGCTACATAATTTGCAGGGCCCAGTGAAAAATGAAAATGCAGGTCCCGTATTCAAAACTGATGAAGAATTTCAAGGTACCAACAACAGAGCATCAAACCAAGGGAAGGGCCCTCCTCAGCACAGAGTCCTGTGTGACTACACATGTCACACACCCAGGAAGCCAGCCCTGGCTGTCTTCACATGCGACATCTATTTAGATAATGAATGTAAAGTGCTTGGTGTGATGCCTGGCACATACCGAGCACCCAGTATGCATTAGCTCTTCATACTGTTATTATCAGGCCTGGTCACCGACTAGCCAGCTGAAGGGGAAATACGCCCAGGGGCAGGTGGCAATTCAGAAGCAGAAGGGCTTCTAACAGCATGTGGCTATTTAGGTTGAAGGGTACTTTAGAAGATGAAGGGCTGGAGGTGTGAGGCAAAGTAATTAGGGAGAACTGCATGCTGGGTATTCTGCAGAAAACACTCCTTGAGACGATTCAGGTGGCAACTTGAAAGGACAGACTTCAACTTGCACTGACTTTTTTTTTTTAAGCCGTAAATCTTGTTTTAAAGTATGAATCCCTACCTTGGGATTAAATGGCTTAATTGGAGTCTAATCCCTTTTTAACAAGACAAGGGGGAGGAGAAAGTCAAGGGCTCCTCAAAGACCTGTGTGCTGGCCTAAAAGGAAAGCCGTCACCATCTACAACCTTCTGCATCTTACACCTCCATCTGGATCTCTGCAAGGCTGGCTGTTCATGTAATTCTGCCCGCCACCTGCACTGCATGTGCCCACATGCACTTCCGCCCCCATGTACCCTCTCCCTGCATAAGAAATCATAAAATTCCCTTTCTGTACACATGTTTCAAATGCTTTTTACAAGTATACACATGCTTTTACCCCAAGTTCTCTCTCCACTAAACACACACACACACACACACACACACACACACTCTGTATGTAATGGGAGCCTAGTGACTCACAGTTAAGCCAAAGACTTACAGAATTTTTCTGAAACCATTTTTTATATATAAAGATAGATGCACAGAGCACAGTCCACACTCAGTAGGTACAAGCTAGCTCACTCACCTGTAAGTTCGTTTCCCAAAAGATTTCGCCAAGAGTCCATTTCTGTGTGCCTTTTTGATTCTTGCCAGTTGTTTACCTCATCTACAGAGAAGCCGGAACAGAGTGGAGAATCCCAGTAGGATTCAAAACATGTAGTGTTCCTCCCTAGTGTTCCAAATGGTGACAATTCCAAAGTGAGGCATTTGTATATCCTATTCCCAGGGGACCCCTACACAGTATTGGTAGCCTTTTCTCCATTCAGATGGCTGTGAATCATAAGTATTTCTCCATGTTTACCCTGGTATTGTGAAAAATATACACTTAAAATGCCTCACTTATGAGCTACATCTAAAGATGGATGAGAAGTCGGACATATAATGAGCTCTCCTGCCTTTTTTCTCTGACATCCTTGAGAGCTGGGGCTGCGTCTAGCTTATCAAGCTCCCACAGTCCCCATCCCAGAACCCCACACAGGACCTTGTTCCTAGTACCCCATCCCAGAACCCACACAGTACCTTGTTCCTAGTACCCCATCCTAGAACCCACACACAGTACCTTGTTCCTAGCAGATGTTTGGTAAATCAAGAAGGAATCAAGACTTTTGACTTAAACATCTGGGCAGATGGTGGTGCCACATCCTCAGGGAAGGCTGGAGGAGGCACAGTTGACCGCAGAATGACCTTTCAACCAGTAAACACTTGTTGAGTGCGTACAGTGTGCTAGCAGCCATACTGAGTACTGATACTACTACCGAAACAATAAGAGCAGCAAAAATAATCTCAAGCCGTTATTGAAATTGATGTGACTGACTGGTTGGTTGACAGGATGATATCCTCTGGCAGTGGCCACTTCTTGTTGCCAGTCTCCTTTGAGCCCCATCCTCCATCCCAAACGACGGTTAGAGCCTTCGTGGGGGGTGTGTTACCACCACTTTCCAGCAAAATCATCAAGGGGCCCAAAAGAGAAATGATTTGGCCAAAGTTCATATAATCAGTAAATAGGGAGAGTCTGGATTGACCCTTGAACTGCCTGATTCTCGGACATATGCTCTTGTCACTCTACCACCAGCGGGGACACCACCGTCATGGTGCTCTGGCCTCCTAGATGTCTGCAGCCCCCCTTTCCTGGGCTCCTCGGTCAACTCCCTCTAGACTCCAAAGCCTTCCAACATTCTTCGCCCCACCCACCTCTCAGAAGAATTTTCCCTGGGTCTTTTGCACCTAAAGAAGGTTTTAATGTATGATGGCTTTGGTCCTTTATGAACTGACAAGTATGGGAGGTATCAAGAGGAAGGTTTTGCCCTCGAGGAGCTTACGGTCTAGAAGGGACACGAAAAATAAATGACCGACTATAGGGAAGTTCAGGCTCCTAACGTGGGATGGGGACCCGCTGACACTCATAGTGACGTAAACAGTGTAAAGACTTAGAATTTACTAACGCAGAGCTGTGGACCCAGAAAGTTATTCCCTTTCCAGTTTCCCCCGAACCCCCTGGTGGCATCAAGAAGGTCTCAGTCTGGTGCCAGTCTGCCTTTACCACCTCTCCAGCACCTGCTAATCTGCAGGGAGGAGAAAGCAAAGCACCAGGCTCAGAGCTCTGGGTAGGCTATTGCCCGTCTCCGAACTGAACAGCACCTTTATGTTTTCATTATGTTGTCTGATGGCTATTTTCCATATCTGTCAAGTGATGCCAGTTTCATGTCCACAGCGTATATAAAAATATTAATTATTTATATTCTAAACATAGTTTTTCTTTAGAAAAACAGTAAGTCAAGAAAGATGCAAGTGGTGTGTAGATGAGGCAAAAACCATGAAGATGGGGTGCAATGCAGTGCAGAAAACAGTGACCCAGAATAAATACGTGCATGGCCAGGGCCTGTGTGAAGGGTCATGGAAGCAGGGGGGAGGGCATTTGTCGATTTCAGCCTCACAGTCCCTGGGAGAGGGGTATCTGAGTCTGAATGTTCACCCCTTCTGTGAATGTGGAGTAAAAAGTCCAGGAACCTGTTTTTAGGGGAGAGCCCCTCTCAGCATGTCCAGGCCCCAGCAGCTGCATGGAGGGGCTTGGGGGAGTGAGGAGTGGGTGTCTGCAAAGCCCGCTGAAATTGTCCGGTTAAAGAGCCCCGTCCCCCGCCTGTGGTCAGGGTGCGTCCCGCATTGCCTCTCCAGGCTTAAGCACCAAAGGGCAGTGATTGCTGCCTTCTCATAAAGAGGAGCCTGCATAGGGGGGTTTGTTCTCCTATTGTTGTTGTGCCCTCCCACCTGTGGGAAAGCCGCTTGACACATCTGGCTGGGATGGCAGGAAATGACCTCAAAGATGAACTTGGACTAAAAACAACTGTACCTGAAAACAAGTCTGGATGGGACCTGAAGACGCCGAGCAGGCCCCCTGGGGAGCTGCAGAGGCCGAGGCCACGTAGGAGGGTTGGAACCAATGTAGCTGGCGATCGGGAGAGTCCTGGGGAGCATCTCTGGGTCTGTGCTGAGCAGGGTGCCTCAAGAGGAGGAAGAAAGCCAACCGCATGGAACACAGATTTGGAAGAAGTCCTTCAGAGGTGCCCCTTCATGGGGAGTCACAGTTGGCAGGCCCACGCCCGAGGCTGTAGAACTGACTTGTTCCGGGTGTGGAGCCCGCGCCCTGTGCCCCGCACACTCACAGACAAGGAGGTGTCCTTGTCTCCGCTGACACTGGCCTTCGTGAGAGGTCCTGCTCGCTCCTTCCCCAGCACCCCCTCCCTGCGGGCATGCAGCCTCCTCCCCCCGCACCCCCAATCTGCCCTGCGCCCTCCTTCAGCCTGCCCCTCCTTCTGGGCCACAGATCCCTGTTGGCGGAACTGCTGTCCAACCAGAAAGCCTGCCTTCATTCCGAGCTCTCCCCCTCCCCAGCCCCTGTGCCCAGTCAGTGAGCAGACTCATCTCGCCGCCGAGCTTATCACTGCTTCTGTCCTTCCCGTGCCATTGCCTTAGGTTTGGCCCCCACCTTCGGCCTAGACTGTTGCTGCAGCCTCCTGCCTGGCCTCCCGGAGCCCATCAGTCACCACGCATCACACCGGCCCCTTGGCTGCCAGTCTTGGCCTCCGTGACCATCTCTTGAAAAACCAAATCCATTCAGCTGCTTCTCTCCCCAGAGGGGTAATGGTTCCCCACAGTCCTCAGAGGCAGGACTACTAAAAGCCAGAAATGATCATAGAGGATATGCGGACGTTATGACTGTCCTCAAAACAGCTGTTCATAGGCAGTGTTGGTAGGTCCATCTTACCAAATAGGAAAACCTGAGGACAGAAAGATTAGAGAACTTGCCCAAAGTCTCAAAGCTAGAAACAGAGCCAGGATTTAAGGGAAGAACGGTGCTCTCTTCCCCTAGACAAGTTGGGGCATTCTAGACCCTCCAAGCCTGGCTACAGTCGGCCTTCCAACACCCGCAGGCCCCACAAACACCACACACACGCACAGACCAGGCAGGTGTGT